GTTGGAGACCAAACCACGTCTGCCACATTATCTGTGCAAGGTATGTGCTTTTTTATAAAGTGGTTCTGTCAGGGAATTGCACAGCTGGTGTTCAAATAGAGTCAGAGAGGCTGGCATGAACTTGTTGTTTGATATAAGCAAATACATTTTAGATCAATATAGTATAGTATATAGTATAATATAGCAAAGTAGTTTGTCAGGCAAACAGGAACATGATAAGGTAAATCAACACAGCAGGAACATTCTGTTGCTAAACAAGGTAGTTGTTAACTGATTTGCGCACATTTTTAGAATCATTTTACTGTGAATATTGCAGTTGTTAAATGACTCTATTGATTTTGCTCCCATTGATCCCATTGATTTTGCTTGTCAGAAGCTTGTTGGGAAGGTCTCAAATGATGATCACACGAACCAGGGACACCACAACCATCGTAAATATATGCCTATTGTCACGCACCCAAATTTTGATCATACTGTATGATGTAATGGTCATAAGTGCAAGGACCAGATTTGAGTCACTTTTTCAATGCTGTTGTAAATTTGTATGGTTGCTAAATGAATGTTTGTAAGTCAAGGACTCCCTGTAATTTTGTTAATACAGAAAGAGAGAGTGGAGGGAGGAGAGAGGGAGGGAAAGAGAGTTGTTAAGTGAGTTGTGCCCAATCTTAAGAAGATTTTTTGGTCATCTTTGTGATGCAATTCATTGCAGTTGTTAAATGAATCAGGCGGTTGTTAAGTGAATCTGGATTTCCCTGTTGACTTTGCTTTTCAGAAGCTGGCTAGGAAGGTTAAATAGGGATTCTGCAGCTGTCATAAATACGTCCCAGTTTCATCAGTAGAAGTTTTATAGAAGAGACTGGACAGCCATTTGTTTGGAATGGGATAGGACTCCTGCTTGACCAGCGGATTGGATTAGAAGGGAGGGATTCCACTGGAAGGGACTCCCTTCCCACCGTATTATACCCTATTTTATGACTTATATATGAATCTCATCTATCTCATCTAAGGGCCACATTGCTTTCAGGAATGTCTATGAAATGTATAATATTTTCCCACTAACAGTACTTCCTGGGACATACAAACATCCATCGGTCCTATATAACCAACTTTTCCCAGCATTTATTTTTCAGAAGTTGGTGCGAACTGCCACTTAATGAAAGAACTGTATTAAAAAAATATATCTGTCATTTCTGCCATCATTTTGACCCCACAGCTCTCAAGCCTGAATTTGTACAGCGCCTGAAGGATGAGAAAGTGGATGAGGGCAGTACGGTCAAATTTCACTGTGAGGTGACAGTCCCTAAAGCCCCAGCAGAATGGCGCAAAGATGGTGCAAAAATCCATGCTGGTCCCAAATATGACATCAGACAAGATGGTGGCATCCATGATTTACTCATTCATAACTTGGAAGCCCAAGACAGCGGAAAGTATTCGTGCATTGTTGGAGACCAAACCACATCTGCCACATTATCTGTGCAAGGTATGAGTTTTTTAAAGCAAACTGGAACTCACCATCACTTGGAAGTTGGCTCAAAGTCACCCAGCCAGCTTTCATGGTTAATGCAAGACTAGAACTCCCAATTTCCCAATTTTGAGGAGGAGGAGGAGGAGGAGAAAGAGGAGGTGGAGAGGGTAAATTGTGGGGTCCTTAGTACTCTCTAAACTTTGTTGATTTCTTACAGACGTTTCATGACCCAACTAGATACCATTATCAGTGCTACCGTAGTAGGAAGGGGAGTGTGCAGAGAGGAGGAGGAAGACTGTAAGATTTCTGGTGCTCTCTTTTTGAAAGGGTTTGCACCCTATAGGTAGGACAAGAATGGGGACAAGAATGTCTGTCACTAAGCAGGACAGTTGTTAAGTGATTTCTGTCCATTTTAGGAATAGTTTTACCATAGTCATTAAGTGAATCATTGAAGATAAGCGAATCATGAGGTCATTAAGTGAATCTGGCTTCCCCTATTGACTTTGCTTGTGGGAAGCTATGCAGATCACAAATGGTGATCACATGAGCCTGGGACACCGCAACCGTTGTAAATCCATGCCAATTGCCAAGACTACAAATTTTGATCATGTGACTGTAGGGATGCTGCAATGGTCATAAGACAAGGATCAGATTGTAAGGTACTTTTTTCAGGGCTGTTGTAATTTTGGACGGTTACTAAATGACGTTGAGGAGTCCCTGTATTTTAATGATTTAGTATGGATTTAATTGAATGGAAGTCTGCTTCTCTCCCTTAGCTTTTCAACATTTAATTAAGTGGACGATGCTTGATGAAGGAAGAGTTGAATTTTTAATCTGCATGTTTTTGAATGCAGCATTGCATAATATACTGTACATTTCCAAATCAATCTGTGGAATTTTCTCTGGAGACCCTTTCAGCAGTAAAAGACATTACAGGTAGTCCTTGACTTACAGCCATTCACTTAGTCACTGTTCAAAGTTACAATGGTGCTGAAAAAAGGCACTTATTACCATTTTTCACGCTTACAACTGCTGCAGCATCCCCTTGGTCACATGATCAAAATTCAGATGGTTGGCAACTGACATGTATTTATGACGATTGCAGATTTATATGGTTGCCTTTTGTGACCTTCTGAATAAAATCAATGGAGAGGCCAGATTCACTTTGTAACCATGTTACTAACCCAATAAGTGCAGTGATTCACTCATGTGTCAAGAAAGGTCATAAAATGGGGCAAAATTCATTTAAAAAATGCCTCAGTTAGCAATAGAAATTTTGGGCTCAATTGTGATTATAAGTTGAGGACTACCTATATTTGGATATGGTAAAATTATGACTTGATAGGCCCTTGCGATTGATTACAAACTCAAAACCCCAAATTCAAGGAAATTTATGTCTGATTTTTGATATTTTAACAACTTTCACTTACTATCATAGCCATAGAGACCTTCTGAATATGTTGTTTGTTGTTCTGAAGGCTCAAAATAATTTTATTAGTTATGAAATTTGTCTATGGACCATCAGACTTGTGTGATTCTGTGACATATGAGCACAAAAAGACACATTTCAATTGGAATTTGATTCTGCTTCATACTACCTTTTAGGTTTTAATCACCTTTAGTTAAAGTTTTTAAAAAATAAATACAGGTACCACGTTTGAAACCGGAAGTTGGCTTCTCTCTGCGATGTTATTGACAATATAGAAAAAGAGGGATTTAAATTTTGTTCTTTGTGCATCAACTGGGCAATTCTGCTCAGATATGTCTCTGAAATTAAATGGAAATAAACTCTTCTAAAGGTTCCACAATTAGCCTCACAATAGCGTTGTGCAAATATTCAGCTGAATTTTATTTCTGAATTGAGTTGACTTTTCCAAGTAGAATTGCAAAGCTGTTGTGAGCTGTCAAATCAAATTTATTTTTTTTAAAAAAATCTGTTTTCTGCCATTTGCGGCACAGCTAATCAAAGACCTTGCAATGTCTGAAATGAATCAGTGTCTTCTGAATAGAACAAATGAATCAATTAATCTTTGGTCTGATTCACACAGACCTTCAAGGTAGTTGGTCGCCTCGATAGAAGACCATATTTGTAGCTCAGGGTTGAATTCTGGGGTCCTTGGTGCTCTCTGATCTTGGCGGTTTTCTTGCAGATGTTTCATGACCCAGCTAGGAAACATGGTCAGTGCTAAAAGAGAGGGGGGTTTGCGGAGAGGAGGAGGAGGAGGAGGAGGAGAAAGGTGCAGGGAGAAGGAGAGGGAGAAGGAGAAGAAGACTGTAGGGTTATTGTGAGCTTGGAAGTTTTATTGCCGATGTTTCATTATTCAACTATATAACATCATCAGTGCCAGAAGAGATTGGCTTTGTGGGGAAGAATGTGGAGCCCTTGGTGCTCTCTGAGCTTGATGGAAGCTTAGTTAACAATCTCTGAGCTTCATAGCAGTAAGGTCACATGTTTTACTTTCTCCCATTCCTTTTGACCCCCACAGTCCTCAAAGCTGAATTCACACAACGTCTGAAGGATGAGAAAGCAGAAGAGGGAAGCACAGCCAGATTACACTGTGAGATCACAGTCACTAAAGCCCCCGTGGAATGGCACAAAGATGGTGTAAGAATCCACGCTAGCCCCAAATATGACATCCAACAGGATGGGGGCATCCATGAGTTACTCATTCATAACTTGCAACTCCAAGACAGCGGTGAATATTCATGTAGCATTGGAGACCAAACCACGTCTGCCACGTTATCTGTGCAAGGTACGTTGTTGTTGTTTTTTTAAGCAGACTACAACTCCCTGTCTCCTGGTGATTGCCCCAAAGTTACTTAGACAGTTTTCATGGCTAAAGCAGGTCTAGAACTCCCTATCTCCTGGTGATTGCACAAAGTTACTTAGACAGTTTTCATGGCTAAGGCAGGTCTAGAACTCCCTGTCTCCTGGTGATTGCCCCAAAGTTACTTAGACATGGCTTTTTCATGGCTAAAGCAGATCTAGAACTCCCTGTCTCCTGATGATTGCGCCAAACTCACCCAGCTGGTTTTCATGCCTAAGTATGGACTAGAACTCCCAGTCTCCCAGTTTCTAGCCTGATGCCTTCATTACTAGAGCAAACTGGCTCTCATAAAACAAGCCTGGTGTTTTACTTCTTCAGTTTGCAGGATTCTGTATCCCGTTTTTCCTAGCATGAAATCTGATTTATGAGACTTCTTTGATATTTGCTTCCTTGGATGGGGTTTGCTTTGTGGAGGATGGTCAATGTCTTTTGACATGACAGGTAAAACCCGAAGCACCATTTCAATCAAGTAGTCCTTTGGTTTTGGTTTTTACTTCAAGTTGACCTCTGCAGCTTTAATACAGGTAGTCCTCGACTTACAACCAAAATCGACCCCAAGTTTTCTATTGCTAAGTGAGGAATTTGTTAAGTGAGTTTTGAGTTTCCCATTTCATGGCTTTTCTTGAGACATTTGTTAAATGAATTGCTGCAGTTGTTAAGCTCATCACAGAGTTGTTAAGTGAATGTGGCTTCCCTATTGATTTTGCTTGTCAGAAGATCACAAAAAGGGATCATGTGAGCCCAGGACACGTCATAAATATGAGTCAGTTGCCAAATATCTGAATTTGGATCATGTGACCATGGGGATGCAGCAATGGTCGTAAGCATGAAAAATGGTCATGTCACTTTTTTTCAGTTCCATTGTAACTTTGAATGGTCACTAAATGATGCAACATTTTTGTTTCTTGCGTGAAGTACAGAATACATCCTGGTAAGATACAGATAATCCTCAACTTACAACCATTCATTTTGTGACCATTCGAAGTTACAATGGTACTGAAAAAAGAGACTTGTGACTAGTCCTCACACTTATGACCATTGCACCATTTCCCACAGTCAGGTGATCAAAAGTTAGGCGCTGGCATCTGGCATGAATTTATTATGGAGGGGGCTGTATATAAGTCTAAGTGCTATTATGATGGTTGCAGCTTCCCAAGGTCATGGGATCACCATTTAAATCTTCTCAGCCTCCTTCGACAAGCAGTGGTGGAAAGCTGGATTCATTTAATAACAGTGTGATTCACTTTAAAACTGCAATGATTCACTGAACAGCTGTAGTCAAAAAGATCATTTGATTGGGCAAGACTCACTTAAAAACCTTCTTGCTTATTAGCAATGAAAATTATTGTCCCAATTCTGGTTGTAACTCGAAGAATGCCTGTAGTTAACTGAGACCAAACCCACAGCTGAATTCCACTTGGGATGAGATATAGGTGGTGGTTTATGGTCTATGTTGTCACTGTCACTGATGGATCTTGTGGCCTTTGTAGAAGTGGACATCACCATCATCAAGGGACTGAAAAGTGCAGAGGTCTTGGAAGAGGAAGAAGTCACCTTTGAGTGCGAAGTCTCCCATGACAACGCAAAAGATGTGGAGTGGAAACTGCAAGATTTGTCGCTTCAAAACAATCAGATGAATGAGATCTCAGTCGAGAGAGGACGGGTGCACAAGTTGACACTCCGCAACGTCACCCAGCAGGATTCTGGCATAGTCACCTTCCGGGTGGGACCGTATACCTCCACAGCGAGGCTCAGAGTGGACGGTATGACAAGTTCTATCAAAAGAATTGTGATCAGATATGGTTAAGCATCTCAGTTGTGTTGATGGGTTACGCGGAAGGGGATGATGTCAGGAAAACAGGTTAAAGAAAATGACAGTACGAACAATTCGTCAGTGGAAGAGCTTCCCTTCAGAAGTGTTGGATGCTCCATCACTTAAGGTTTTCAAGAACAGATTGGGTAGCCATTTGTTCAGAATGGTATAGAGTCTTCATATAATATCATAATATCTTCATTAATGACTTAGGTGAGGGAATAGAAGGGGAACTTACCAAATTTGCAGATGACGCTAAGCTGGCAGGAATAGCTAACACCCAAAAAGACAGGCTCAAGATCCAGAGGGAACTTGACAAACTAGAACACTGGACCATATCTAATAAAATGAAATTCAATGCAGAGAAAAGTAAAGTCCTACAGTTAGGCAAGAAAAACCAAAAGGACACATATAGACTGGGTGAAACCAGACTCAATAGCAGGAACTGTGAGAGGGATCTTGCAGTCTTGTGGACAACCAGTTAAATATGAGCCAGCAGTATGCAGCAGCAGCCAAAAAAGCTAATGCAATCCTAAGTTGTACTAACAGAGGGATGCAGTCAAGATCAAGGGAAGTACTAATACCACTCTATAAAGCCTTAGTAAGACCACACCTAGAGTACTGCATCCAGTTTTGGTCACCACACTATAAAAAAGATGTTGAGACTCTAGAAAAAGTGCTGAGAAGAGCAACCAGGATGATTAGGGGACTGGAGGCTAAAACATACAACGAACAGTTGCAGGAACTGGGCTTGGCTAGTCTACTAAAGAGAAGGACCAGGGGAGACATGATAGTGGTCTTCCAATATTTGAGGGGCTGCCACAGAGAGGAGGAAGGGGTCAAGCTATTTTCTAAAACCACCTGATGGGCAGACAAGGAATAATGGATGGAAACTGAACAGGGAGAGATTTAACCTGGAAATAAGGAGAAACTTTCTGATAGTGAGAACAATCAACCCATGGAACAGAAGTTGCCCTCGGAAGTTGTGGGAGCGCCATCACTTGAGACTTTCAAGAAGAGATTGGACTCCCATTTGTCAGAAGTGGTATAGGGTCTTCCGCTTGGGCGGGTGGTTGAACTAGATGACCTACAAGGTCCCTTCCAACTCATTATCTGTATCTTGACCAAGGGGTTGGACTAGAAGACCTCCAAGGTACCTTCCAACTCTGTTATTCTGTATTCTATCAACAGATGAACTATGCTCACATATCTATTCCACCTATATTATATTTTATTTTATTTAGTAAATTTATATGCTTCCCATTGCCCTGATGAAGTGATTCTGGATGGCTCACAAGCTGTAAAAAGATAAATATAAAAACTATTAAAACTGTTTAAAAAGCTATGCAAATTCATATATGTGTGTATGTGTGTGTGTGTGTCTGTCTGTCTGTCTATAACTGAATTCTAGACAGATAAAGTTCTCTGTGCATGTATGTGCTTGTCAGTCTGTGTAACTCTGACCTCAAGTTATTTTTTGAAATTTACACATACCTAAAATCACCTCGCTTCCAAAATAGGATTTCAGTTTAAATCCTATTTACATGAGAAGTTTGCAAGTGAACTCTGGTTTATTTTCTCTCTCTTTTTTTTGTTTTATTTGCCAGTTCTTGTAAATGTTTTATTCACTTTCCATTCCAGCCCCGCATCCTGACTTCCAGCAAGAGCTGAGCAACTTAGAATTGCAAGAAGGCAGCACCGCTTTCCTCAAATGCGAAGTCTCTATGCTCAACGTCTCTGCTATCTGGAAAAAAGGCTCGGAAGTCATCGCTCCGAGCGCCAAGTACGAGATCAGTCAGCATGGAACGACCCATATTTTAAAGATTTATGGTGTAACTCGAAGAGATTCTGGAAAATATATTTGCGACATTGGACATGGGAGAAGCATGGCCACATTATCAGTGGAAGGTAAATGACTGATTAATCAAAACTCAGTATACAGGTAGTCTTAAACTTACAACAGTTCATTTACTGACTGTTTGAAGTTACAATTAACATTTAAAAAATTGATCGTTACAGCCATCTCCATAGTCTTTTTATCAAAATTCAGGTGGTTGGCAACTGACTCATATTTATGACGGTCGCTGTGTCTCAGGGGTCATGTGATCCCCTTTTGCGACCTTCTGACAAACAAAATCAATGGGGAAACTGGATCTGCTTAACAACCATGTTACCAACTTAACAACTGCAGAGATTCACTTAACCACCATGGCAAGAAAGTTTGTAAAAGGTGACAAAGTTCACCTAACAAATGTCCCAATTAGTAACATGAATTTTTAGCACAATGATGGTTGTAAGTTGAGAACTATCTGTAGTTTTAATCCTTATAGGTGTCTGTGTTAATGAGCTTTCATTCTAAAATACACAGCTGCTCCTAAAGGTAGCCCTTGAATTACAACCACAATTGGGTCCAGCATTTTTGTTGTTAAGTGATTCATGCCTGATTTTATGATGTTATCAAGCAAGTTACTGCAGTTTAGCAAGTGATGTGGTTGGTCATTAAGTGAATCTGTGTTTCCCATTTTGCATGTTGAAAGACAACTAGGAAATTTGCAAATGGTGATTAAGCTCAAAATATCCATTGCTAAGCAAGATGGTTCTTAAGTGAATTTTGTCCCACTTTATAACCTTTCCTGCCCCAGTTGTTAAATGAATCACTGCCATTATTAAGTTACAACTGTTAAGTGAATCTGGCTTCCCCACTGACTTCTCTTGTCAGAAAGTCAGAAAAGGGGATTGTGTGACCCCTGGGACGTTGTTCAACTCATGGGTATCTGTGAGATATGGATGCTGTCTTCAGAACAATGAAAACAACACTATGCGGTTGAGCCATATTCTTTGCTTCAAGCTGTATTCTTTCTAAAAATGACATGTACACAAGGTCATACATGTGTGCAAAAGAGGTAGAGGATGTGCTGCATGGACATGATGTCTTATTAGCATCCTTTATCATAAACAGCCAGTTTTGTTAAGGCAGCAAGCTAGAAACTGGGAGAGTGTGACTTCTAGTTCCGCATTAGGCATGAAAGCTGGCTGGGTGACATCAGGCCAAACGCCAGGACAGTGGGAATTCTAGTCTTACCTTAGGCTATTTACAAATAGCTCAAGGCAGCAAACATATTCAACATACTGTCCTCCTCCAATTCCCCCAATTTCCCACACAATAATCACCGCTGTGAGGTAGTTCTGGTTGAGGGAGAGTGACTTATTCCAGGCGACACATATTTTAAGGCATTGACTAGAACTTACAATTTCCTTGTGACTGGCCCAAAGTCATTCAGCCAGCATTCTTGCCTAGGTTGGGGCTAGAATTTACTGTCTCCTTGTGATTGGCCCAAAGTCACCCAGCCAGCATTCTTGCCCAAGATAGGACTAGGATTCACTGTCACCCGGTGATTGGCTAAATGTCACCCAGCTGGCTTTCATGCCTAATGCCACACTAGAACTCACATCTCTGGGTGCTTGTCCAGTCACCCAGCTGGCTTTTGTGCCTAAGGCAGAACTAGAACTCACTCTCCCCCAGTAATTGGTTGAAAGTCATTCAGCTGACCTTCAGGCCTAATGTGGGACTAGAACTCACCATCTCTTGGTGCTTACCTAGTTGGCTTTCATGTCTAGAATTCACCACCTCCGTTTCTAGCCTGGTGCCTTGACCAACAGGCCACCTGGCTCTCCTTTTTCTTATTTTCCAAGATAGTTTTCCTCCTCCTGTTCTTCCTCCCACTCCTCACCTTGCATAAGAAGCCTATAACACGCATCACATCTATGACAAAAGCTCACCCCTCTCTCTTCTTTCCCCGGGGTAGCTCTCTCAGCCCGTCCAGCGCTTTTTCAAGTCCAGCTGGAAAACCAGGAGGTCAAGGAAGGCGCAACGATCACCCTGGCCACTGCGCTCACAAAACCTGATGTGCCTGTCCAGTGGATGAAAGGCTCTGCCCAACTGCAGCCAAGTCACAAGTATGAGATGAGACAAAAGGCATCTTATGTGGAGCTGCTGATCCATGATGCACAAGTGGAGGATGCAGGCCACTATACCTGTCAAACCGAGGATCAACAGACCACTGCATCTGTGCTTGTCAAAGGTCAGGGGGAGTCAATTTTGCTCACCTGAGATCAGACACGAATGACCGGACCCATACATGAAGTATTCAAAATAGCTACTTTATTTTATATATTTATTTGTAGGGTCTTTGATAAATGTATGTATATATATTTATGTATGTATGTATGTATTTATTTATTTACTTTGACGAGCAATTATAAGATAACAGGTATAAGTATATACATAGTTATGAATACATGAAATGGGTACATATAAGAAAAATAAAAAGAATCAATAGGACAGGGACAGTAGGCACGTTGGTGCGCTTATGCACACCGCCTACAGACCTCTTAGGAAAGGAGTGAGGTCACTAGTAGACAGTCTAAGGTTAAAGTTTGTGGGGTTTGGGGAAGAAACCACAGAGTCAGGTAGAGTATTCCAGACATTGACCCCTCTGTTGCTGAAGTCGTATTTCCTACAATCAAGTTTGGTGCGGTTAACCTTGAGTTTGTATCTATTGTGTGCTCTTGTATTGTTATGGTTGAAGCTGAAGTATTCATTGACAGGTAGGACATTGCAATATATGATTTTATATACTGTACTTAGATCCAGGGGTGGGATTCAAATTTTTTAACAACTGGTTCTATGACTGTGGCTTAGTTGGTGTGTGTGGCTTGGTGGTCACCTGACTGGGTGGACATGGCTTGGTGGTTATGTTATTGGCTGGGTGTAGCCAACTCAACATCACTCACATCGAGGCACGCATCTCCTCGCCTGACCTCTCATGACTGTGGGGATGCTGCAACAGTTGTAAGTGTGAAAAATGGTCATAAGGCACTTTTTTCAGTGCCATTGTAAGTTTGCATGGTCCCTCCACACAAGCAAAGTACCAGCAAAGGAGGGAAAAAAACTCCAGAGAAGTTCCAGAGACAAGAAGTCCAGTCCTGCCAAGAGTGTAAAAAGGGTTAACGGAGAGGCAGTTTCTGTAAGCAACACCAGAATGTTTCCTTCCTGCCTTCTTTACAGGATTAGGCCAGTAATTTCTTCTAACAACCGGTTCTCCAAACTGCTTACAATGTTAACAACCGGTTCTAGCAAATAGGTGCAAACTGTAAAATCCCACCCCTGCTTAGATCGGACCGAAGGCGGCGCAGTTCTAGGTTTTCTAGCTCTAGAATTTCAAGTCTGGTGGCATAAGGTATTCTGCAATGAGTAGAGGAGCGGAGAACTCTTCTTGTGAAATATTTCTGGACTTTCTCAACTGTGCTAATATCAGATACGTAATGTGGGTTCCAGACTGATGAGCTGTATTCGAGTATTGGTCTAGCAAATGTTTTGTATGCTCTAGTTAGTAGTGTGATATTACCAGAGAAAAAGCTACATAGGATTAGGTTAACAACTCTTAATGCCTTTTTGGCTATGTAGTTACAGTGGGCTCTAGCACTTAGATCAATGGAGATAAGTATTCCAAGGTCCTTGACAGAGCTTGGATCATCAACAAGGTCTTGACTATTCAGCTTGTATTTTATTTTCTGATTTTTTTTGGCCAATATGTAAGACAGAGCATTTATTTGTTGAGATTTGAAGTTGCCATTTGACCATTCTGATACATAGTCAAGGTCTTTTTGAAGGGTCGCAGTATTGTCTGTGGTGTTGAATAGCTTTACATCATCAGCAAAGAGAACGCAGTTGCTCTTTATATGATCACAGAGGTCATTTATGATCTCTGAACTTGGTCATTTTCTTGCAGATATTACAAGACCCAACTAGGGAACATCATTAGTGCTAGAAGGGAGTGAGGTTTATAGAGGAGGAGGAGGAAGACATCTGTGAGTTCTTGATGCTCTCTGAGCCTCGTTGTTTTTTTGCAGATTTTTTCTTGCAGATGGGATGATGTTACCAAGTTGAATCGTGAAGCATCTGCAAGAAGACAACAAAATTCAAAAAGCCCTAAGGACCAATGGTCCTGTCTCCCCCCCCTCCCGCTCCTCCCCTTCTCCCTCCTCCTTCTCTCTGCAATCACCACTCCCTTGTAATATTGATGAGGTTAACTGGTTGGGTCATGAAATGTCTGCAAGAAAACCATTAAGCTCAAAAAGCATCAAGGATCACACCCTCTTTCTCCTCTTCCTCCTCTCCATAATCACCACTCTCTTGCAGCACTGATGATGTTATTTAATTAGGTCATGAAATGTCTGCAAAAGCAAACAAACACTGGGATGTAACAGTAGGATTAGTGGAATGTAAATTCACAGAGAAACAAATGAAATAAAAGGTTATATCTTTCAATTGTAGAAATACCGGCCACCATAGAAGAAAAATTGAAAGACCTCACTGTTCACGAAGGAGAGGATGCCGTGTTTCGCTGTGTGGTTTCTCATGAGAAGGCCAAAAACCCGCAATGGAGTTTGGCAGGTGTGCCTCTGCAATCCAATGAAATGAACCAAATTAGCGTGGAAGGCAAAATTCACACCCTCGTTCTCCGAAAAGTCACCCTTGAAGACTCCAGCACTGTCAGTTTCCAAGTTGGTCAGAATTCAACACAGGCTCAGTTATTGGTACAAGGTAAGTTAGTCAACTGTTCAGATGGAATTTGATCTTCCACAGGGACATCCATCCGTGGGAAGATGAGGAGGATGACGAGGACAACTGGGGAGTCCTTGGTGCCCTCTGAGCTTTGTTGTTTTCTTGTAGATGTTTTATAATCCTATTAGGTACCACCATCAGTTCTAGAAGAGAGTGGGAGGATAAAACATGCGATGAACAGTGGTAGGAATTGGGTAGGTCTAGTTTAATGAAAAGGACTAGGGGCGACATGATAGCAGTCTTCCAGTATCTGAGGGGCTGCCCCAAAGAAGAGGGAGTCAAGCTATCCTCCAAAGCACCTGAGGAGGGGACAAGAAGCGACGGATGGAAACTAACCAAGGAGAGAAGCAACCTGGAATTTAAGGAGGAATTTCCTGATAGTTTGAACAATTAATCAGCGGAACAACTTGCCTCCAGAAGTTGTGAATGCTCCAACACTGGAAGTTTTTAAGAAGAAAATGGATAACAATTTGTCTGAAATGACATGGTGTTTCCTGCCTGAGCAGGTGGTTGGACTAGAAGATCTCCAAGGTCACTCCCAACAGTTATTCTATTCTTTTCTATTCTATATGCAAGTGGCTTGCCCTGATAGTATTGGTGGGAATGTTCTTGCTGATTCCTTGATTAGACCGGGGGTCTTCAGCCTTTTGGACCTCAGGGACCACCAAATTCATAATTTTAAATTCTGCGGACCACTAATATGAATCCAGCATGCCACTCACTGAAGCGCCTGGACTCCCAATGACAGGATGGGGTCCTTCAGGCTTGGCTGCCTGTTTTTGCAACCTTAAATACTCAGTCATTTGGACCCGTTTCCCACAGAAAACAAAACACCGGGTTCTCTCATATCTCCCTCTCTCTTTTTCTCCCTCCCTCTCTATTTCTCTTTCTCCCTTTCTCCCGCTTTCTCTCCGTGTGTGTCTTCTCTCTCTCTCTCTCTTTCCCCTCTCTTTCTCTCTGTCTTGTCTCTCTCTCTCTCTCTCTTTCCCTCTCCCCCCTCTGCCTTTCTCCCTCTTTCTCTCTCTGTTTTGTCTCTCTCTTTCCCCCCGTCTCTCTTTCTCCCTCTTTCTCTCTCTCTTTATGACTTGTCTCTCTCTTTTCCTCGCTCTCTCCCTTTCTCCCTCCCTCCTTCTCTCTCTCTGTGTCTTGTCTCTCTCTCCCTCTCTCCTCTGTTTTTCCCTTTCTCCCTCCCTCTCTCTTTCTCTCTCTCTCTTTCTCTCTCTCTCTTTCTCTCTCTCTGTGTAGGTCTTGTCTCTCTCCCTCTTCCCCCCACTCCCTTTCCCCAGGGGTGGGAGTTGGGGGAAAGGAACCTCTGAACTGGTGCTGGGTGGTGGGAATCTGGTGTCCGGAGGCCCACGAGCCACATGCTGAAGACCAGATGGCTGGTGGGGAGGTGAGGCAATCCTGCAGTCTCCCTAGCAAACCTGTGTCATGGATGCTGCCTCCCGCCTTCGCGCGCATTGAGGCGGCCAAGAAGCAGCGGGAAGAGCACAGTCCTCCTGAGCTGCAGGAAGCCGCTGCCAGCGATGCCCTCAGGTGAAGATATTGCAAGGGGGAGGCTCGACCCTTCCCCTCAGGAGCCGCAAAGCGCTCACTGCCCCTCTGGCACCTGCCAAGCCTCCTTCCCGCTGTGCGTATGAGTGCTTCAGGCGAGGAGGAAGAGAAGCGTGGTGGGAGGAGGCTTGGGGACTGCCAGAGGGGCAGCGAGATTGTGCCCTCCCCTCACAGGCCAGGGAATACCTAGGAAGGGCTCTGATGCCGTGATCTCCCCCACACGACCCTCTCTCCCCGTACGCATCAGTCCATCTTCCGCCAATATCACCCCTGTTGCAGACACAGGTGCACTGAACACCGTGGACCACCAGTGGTCCACAGACCACCAGTTAGCGACCTCTGGATTAGACTATTGCTTACTGTTAGCTTGTTTGTCTGAGTTGCTAGTTAATCTTTGCCCATTTGTGTGATTGATTTTTGATTTTCCTTGATTTTGGCAATGAGGTGTGATCTTTTATATTTTTAATCCTTGCTTTTGAATGGTGTGTAAATATTCTTCATTTCAATGTGCTTGTTGATGGCCCATTTGTCTGAGTGCCAGGCTTGCAAGAAGTCTCTAGCAGTACTGGCTTGTTCTAGGAGGCTGACATTTTTCCAATTACTGTGTCCAATAAAGGTGTTTTTATTGTGTCTTCTGATGGCCTTTTGGTGCTCATAGATGCTCTCTATGATCTTCTGCTTGGTTATCCTACACAGTAGCTATTACAATCCTTACAGTGTACAGGCACAGTCTTCAGCTTAGCACCACAATTGACCCCAAAATTTCTGTTTTTAAGTAAGACATTTATTAAGTGAGATTTGCCCCATTTTATGACCTTTCTTAGCACAGTTAAGTGAATCACTGCAGTTGTTCAGTTAGTAACACATTCGTTAAGTGAATCAGGCTTCCCAATTGACTCTGCTTGTCAGAAGGCTACAAAAGAAGATCACATGACCCTGAGAGAGTGCAACCATCATAGTTTACTTTATTGTCATTGCACCTCATACAACAAAATTAAATACCATCTTCAGTGTACATTATGACTATGAAAGTAAACACAAACATCCATCCTTCACATTTTACACATTGAATTAAAAACCCCTGATATTGCATTAATATTGCACTATACAGTAGAATTCAGTAGAGATACTGCCCTGGGATAGAAGCTGTTTTTCAGCCTATTTAACTTGTTTTTATTATCCTGTATTGTCTACCAGATTGTAGTGGTTCATAAAAGGGGTGCCCAGGATGAAATGGATCTTTGAGAATGTTTTGAACTTTCTTAAGGCAATGGGAGCTATAAAGCTCTTAATCATAAATACAAGGCAGTTGCCAAGCATCTGAATTTTGATCGTGTGACCTTAAGGGATGCTGCAGTGGTCATAAGTGTGCAAAATGGTCATAAGTAACTTTTTGTAGGGCCATTGTAACTTTGAACGGTCACTAAATGAACTGTTGCAAGATGAGGACTGCCTGTACATTGAAGATGACTTTGATGGTCTATATGCTCAACAGAAGTCTTTTTTCCCTCTCTGTAGCTGCACCAATAATCCTCCTAAAAAAGCTGGAGAATGCAGAAGTAGCCGAAAACGGCATGGCAACTTTCCGCTGTGAGCTTTCCAAACCTGGCATCCCAGTAGAGTGGAGAAAGGGATCGTCCCTGATACAGCCCAGCCAGAAGTTTGAAGTCAAGACAGAAGGCAATGCCTACATTTTAATCATCCATGACGTGGTTCCAGAAGACGCGGGACAATATATGTGCAGTGCAGCTGACAAGAAAACCACCGCCAAGCTAAAAGTTAAAGGTGAGTGTAGCTATTGGAGAACTATTGAGATAAGTAATAGAATCATAGGGCTGAAAGAGAACTTGGAGGTCTTCTAGTCTAACCCTCCGCCAAGGTAGGAGTCCTGCCCAATGCAGGAGTCCACCTCCCGGACAAGCCATTCCACCAGTTAATTCTTCTCACTTTCACTTCATTCCATCTCTTCATCTCATCTCTTGCCTCCACTTATTCTAGATCCAGTTCCTCTCTCTTCATCCATCCATTTGACCTTCAGAGATCTTACTATGGTTTACTGTTTTACCATTTTGTTTAATGTTTGAGGGTTTAAGGTACCATATTGCTTGATGATATCTTTTCAGCGTGTTCATGTATATCTAAACTATACAGGTATTTCTTGAACAACAACCATTCATTTAGCAATCGTTTGAAGTTGCAATAAAGCTGGGAAAAAATGTGATTTAGGACCATTTTTCACACTTATGACTGCTGCAGCATCCCCAGGGTCATGTGATCAAAATTCAAACACTTGGCAACTGACAGTAGCAGTGTCCCACTGTCCCAGAGTCATGTAATCTCCACTTGTGGCTTCCGACAAGTAAAGTCAATGGCAGAAGCTGGATTCGCTTCAGTTAACAACTGCAGTTATTTGCTTTACAACCATGGTAAAAAGGTCATAAAATTGGCCCTGACTTACTTAACAACCACCTTGCTTAGCAACATAAATTCTAGCTCCAATTTTAGTCATGTTGAGGACTATCGAAATGGTCATCAACACGAGGACCGGTTGTAAGTCACTTTTGCAGTGCTGTTGTAACTTCACACATTCACAAAATGAGTGGTTGTAAGTTGAGGACTACCCATATAGTAGTATATGTATTTAGGAAGAATTGGAGGTGCTCCATCACTGGAGGTTTTCAAGAAGAAATTGGACAATCACTTGCCTGAAATGGTATAGGGTCTCCTGCCTGAGCAGGGGGCTGGACTATATGACCTCCAAGGTACCTTCCGACTCTGTTATTTTTTGATTCTATTCTCCAAAGCACCTGAGGGCAGGACAAGAAGTAATGGACAGAAACTAATCAAGGAGAGAAGCAACCTAGAACTAAGGAGGAATTTCCTGACAATTAAAACAATTAATCAGTGGAACAGCTTGACTCCAGAAGTCGTGGGTGCTTCATTAATGGAGGTTTCAAAGAAGAGATTGGGCAGTTATTTGTCTAAAATGATTTGGGTTACCTGCTTGAAGAGCGAGTCAGACTAGAAGACCTTTAAATTGCCTTCCCACTCTGTTATTCTGTATTCTGATCGATGGGATTTACTTAACAAGTCTCTTTTGGTATCTGTTTGCTCTTTCAGCTCTGCCAGTATTGTTCAAGAGAGGTCTGCAGAACAAGGAGGTTGAAGTAGGAAACACTGTGTCATTGTGTTGTGAGTTGTCCAAGCCGATGTCACCTGTGGTGTGGAGAAAAGGAAACGTGAAGCTTCAGTCGGGTGAGAAGTATGAGATCAGACAAGAAGGGAACTTTGCTGAGCTTCTCATTTATGATCTGGAAATTCAGGACGGTGGCGATTATACGTGTGATTCAGGAGACCAGCAGACCACTGCCACAGTGAAGGTCAAAGGTAAGAAAAGCTGGATGAGTTCCAGTGACATCTGTCTTCAACAGAAGAGAGTATTTGTACCTTGGTGATGAACCATGGGGTCCTTGGTGGCTTTGTTGCAGACATCTCATGACCCAACTAGGTATTGTCATCAGGGATAGAAGGGAAGGGAGGATTGCAGAATGGAAGGAGGAGGAGGACTGTGGGACCCTAGTTGATCTCTGAGCTTGGTTGGTTTCTTGTAGATATTTCATGACCCAACTAGGTAACATCATCATTGTTAGAAAGAAGTGAGGTGTATTCTGTTTATATCACTGATGATGTTCTCTGGCTGGGTCATGAAATGACTGAAAGAAAACATAAGACAGTATCAAGGATGTCACAGTCCTCCTCCTCCTCCTCCTCCTCCCCCTCCCCCCTCCTCTCTGTAACCCCTCTCCCTTCTGCCACTGATGATATTACCTAGTTGGATCATAAAATATTTGCAAGAAAATAACCAAACCCAGAGAGCACCCAGGGTCTCACACTTCTATCTTCTTAATACTTTTCCTTGGGAGTGGCTATATTTCATTTAATGACTTCCTCCTTTATATGTAATTGCGTTTGCTTTCTTGGAATCATTTTCTCCAATGTATGAATTTGCTGAGGATTATACAGGAAGTTGTCAGCTTACAGCCACAATTGGTAGCAGGATTTTCATTGCTAAGCTTGGCAGTTGTGAAGTGAGTCACACCTTTTTTGTCATGGTTGCTAAATGAACCAATGAGGCTGTTAAGTAAATCAAGTAGTCATTAAGAGAATCCGGCTTCTCCCATTGATTTTGCTTGTTGGAAGCCAGCTAGGAAGATCATAAATGGTGATCATGTGACCCTGGAGTGCTGCAACCGTTGTAAATATTTGCCTGTTGCCAAGCACCCAGATTTGGTATGGATGCTGCAACAGTCATCAGTGCACAAACCGGACATTCATTACTCCTTTCAGTGCTGTTGTAACTTCGATTAACTTTGGTGCTAAGCAAATGGTTGTAACTTGAGGACTACTTCTAGACTGCGCACAGGTAATACAAGACCAGAAACATTCTGCACAAATGGGGCTATCTGCTCTTTACGATTGTGGTGACATGCAGACAATAACACATATATATGCCAGCCCTTTGGGTCTTGATCGGTGTAGACAGAAGGATCTCACAGCAACATGACAGAAAACAATTGATGTTGCTAGTTTCTGGGCAAGATCTATTTAATTTATACATATTTTAATCTTGTATTTTATATTTTATATTTTATGTTCTTTTAGTGACGGTTCAGCATTACATGGTCATTGAAAAAATGACTTTTGACCGTTTCCCACACTTACAACTGTTTAGCATTCCCATGGTCATGTGATCAAAATTCGGATGCTTGGCAACTGGTTCATATGTGTGATGGTTGCAATGTTCCGGGGTCATATGATCCCCTTGTGTGACTTTGTGACAAGCAAAGTCAATGGGAAAGCCGGATACCCTCGACAAACATGTTAGTAACTTCACGATTGCGGCAAAACTCACGTCTCGCTTAGCAACAAAGATTTGGGGCTGAATTGAGGTCATCATATTTTGTGATGCTTCTGAAACAAAAAAAAACCCAAATAAACCTGTAGAGGTATTGTTTAATGTCTGCAAAGGGCATCAGAGGCGTCCCAACGCTTTTGTCCTTTCTACCTGGTAGCGTTACCTATCTTCTTTGAAGAAGGGTTGCAAAACGTTGAGTCAGAGACTGGAGGGATAGCTGTCCTGTGTGGCAAGATCTCAAGTCCCAACACTCCCGTTGAGTGGCGGAAAGGGTCCCTCATTCTACAGCCCAGTGCCAAGTACGAGATGAAGCAAAAAGGCCCCACCGTGGAGCTGATCATCCATGATTTGGAACCGGAGGATTGTGGATCGTATACATGCAGCACTGGAGACGAGCTGTCCACGGCCTCGGTATACGTGCAAGGTGCGTTCCTAATTCTTATTTGTATTTTGTCAATGCTGCAGCCGGTTGATTTGATGCCAACCTTGTCAACCGAGGGATAATATCAAGATCTCGGGAAGTATTGGGATTGCTTTATAACAGCACTGGTTACTCCACATTTGGAATGCTGTATCCTTTTGTGGTTGCCAAATTACAAAGAATATTGAGACTAGAAAGAGTGCAAAGACGAGCAACAAAGATAATCATGGGATTGGGGGATAAAGCGTATGAAGAATGGTTGCAGGAACTGTCTAATGAAGAGAATGATTAGGGGTGGCATGATAATAGTCTTCCGATATTTGAGTGGCTGCGAGAAAGAAGAAGGGGTCAACCTATTCTCCAAAGCACCTGAAGGCAGGACAAGAAGCAACACACTGAAACTAATCAGGGAGCAATTCAGCTAAATAAGAACTAAAGATAAACTTCCTGACAGCGAGAACAATTAATCAGTGGAATGACTTGTCGTGAGACGTTGTGGGTGCTCCAACACTGGTGGTTTTTTAAGAATGAATTGGACAGCCATTTTTCCAGAATGGATTAGAGTCTCCTGCTCAAGCAGAGGGTTGGACTAAATGACCTCTAAGGTCTCTTCCAACTCTGTTATTCTATGATTCTATTCTCCAAAGCACCTAAGGAGAATAAGAAGCAATGGGTAGAAGGTTATCAAAGAGAGATCCAGCCTAAAAGTAAGGAGAAATTTCCTGACAGCGATAGCAATTAATCAGTGGGCCTCAAGATAGGTTATTCCATCGCTACATTGACCAGGGAATTCCTCTTTATTTTCAAGTTGTTTCTTTTTAAGGTTATTTCTATAGATAAAAATGGAACTCATGCATCTGTTTTGTGCCTTTTCCTGTTATTAAACTAGGTTTGGAGGCCAATCAATCTTTCTAACATAGTCACCGAGGAATTCAGTGGGTCTGAAAAAAATGAATGATCCTAAACGAAATATCTCTTTGGCATGTAAACCACCTTGTTGTATAGATGACTAATATGTAGTTTGCCTCTGCAGTTCTGGTGTGAGACTGCTTTTTAAAAAAGGATTAATGTGTGATTTTGGATGATTTTGAAAAGTTAAGCAGCAGCAGGCCTGGTTAGCATTTGGAAGGGGGGGAAAGTACTAAGAAAAGAAGAAGAAATTAGCCATATTGTGGCTAAGGAAATTGCATTCATGGATGTGTGTATTTTATTTGTTCTGTGAGTGACCAAATGGAAACTCTCATTATTTTATTGCAGTCCACTTGTGCTAAAAGGTTTTAAGGAGTTGATGAGATGCCCTGGAAAATAAGGAAGGTAACCTTCACAGAGATAGGCCAGATCTGTTAGGAAAGCACCAAGGAGGAAATTATAGTTTAAATCAAAAATAAGAACATGTCTGCAAAAGACTCAGGCGGACCTCCTTTCTAATTCACATGAATATAAGGAGGGACATGAAGAAGAGTTGCCAACCATTTTGGGAGAGGCAGGTGCCTTTATGCATGCCTGCACACACGTGAACAGGACCACGAGCAGACGCACGACGCAATCGAGACCGCAAGCTCGCAGAGATGCTAGTGCCCATGTGATGCTCGCAGCAGTGCTTGTACCCACGGGAAGCTCATGGCAACACTAGTGCCGATGAGATACTCGCGGCGGAATTAGCACAAGTGAATGTGTATGCATGCACACACACATACGTACACTGGCCAGACATTCACGCAGCCTGGTGGCCAAGAGGCCGCGGTAGTGGACCCTGGCCCATAGGTTGGGGGACCCCTGTGGTAAAGCACAGACAGATTTTTCAAGATTCTGTTCTTATAAATCAACATAAATGAAAGTAATTTTAGTCTTCTTGTCAAGTTGATTTCTTGGTTGGGTGTTTAGTTGCCTGAGAGCTGTCTTGTTTTTCAGCTTTGTGAAAAATCAGAACAGAAATAAAAAAGATAGTTTCTGGGATACGATGACAGGTAGTCCTTGACTTACGGCCACAACTGGTATCTTTGTTAAGCAAGACAGTTGTTAAGTGAGATGCACCTGATTTTGATTTTTTGGCATGATTGTTAAGTGAATCACATGGTCATTCAGTGAATCCAGCTTTTCCCACTGATTTTGCTTGTCAGAAGCCCATTGGGAAGGTCAAAAAGGCTAATCACATGATGCTGGGACACTGATGAGCATCCAAATTTTGATCACATGATTATGGGGATGCTGCAATGGTCATAAGTGCGAGGATCAGTCATAAGTCACTTTTTTCCAGTGTCGTCGTTACTTTGGGTGAATGGGTGTAAGTCAAGGATTCCTGTACTTTTGTAGGTTTCAGTGCAAGTTTACAGAGTTTTAATTTGGGGTGCTAATTCTGCAACGTCTCTCCTGGCGAAATGATCCATGTTGTGTAAGATGAGTAGAAACACAAAGAATGTTCCATTTTTTACACCTCCGTTGCGTGCGTTCTCTTCCTCTGTTACACAGAAGAGGAAATACAGATAGTTTCTGGTTTAAAGAACACGGATATTTTTGCCGGGGAATCGGCTACTTTTACCTGCGAGCTCTCCCGACCCGGAACACAAAACGCGCAGTGGTGGCTGGACGGCTCCCCTCTTCACAACAGCCCTGCAAATGAAATCTCGGTGCAAGGTGGGACCATTCACAAGCTGATCTTAAAAGACCTGGGTCTCAATGATTCAGGAACAGTGATCTTCCGAGCAGGTTCTCTGATATCCTCGGCTAAGTTATTAATCAAAGGTATTTCAGGCTTTCCCCATCAGGCAACCACCGTGCTGCGCTTGTTCCTTGTGTCACTGGACCCCTAACCAATTCCTGCAAAACAGCCCCTGGAAGGAATGCATTAACCGCTAGGCACCACTACTTTAAGCACATTCCTGCATCTTACTCACAGTCCTTGGAAGATATATTTATTTATTTCTTAAATTTATATGCTGCCTGTCTTGGTAATCTAAAGTGACTCTGGAAGGTTTACAATGGCATATGATAGATTTAGAAGCACCTGATAATTCCCTGTGCTGAATCTGCTGAACCACCACAAATACTGGCAGCGTAAAAGTTTAATAAATAAAATAAATACATCTGGTTTTAGGTTCTTTTGCAACCTTTTGTAGAGCAGCTGAAACCATTCCAGCAAAATAGCTTTCCGCTCAATCTTGTTTGGTGGTTATCATCTGTGAGTGAGCCAATCACAAATAGGGTCGCTTGGAAAGCATACAAATTTAATCAATAATAATTAATAATAAAAATTAACAATAAACTGTAGCTACAGGCCAAGGTGATGCAAATGGGAGATTTTCAGAGATGCTTAAATACCCATCTGAGCACAGTAACTACTACAGGTTGTTTGTAGATGGTCCTCAGCTTATAACCACAATTGTGACCAGAATTTCCATTGCAAAGAAAAGTGATTGTGTAGTGAATCCTGGCTGATTTTATGACTGATTTATCATGGTTGTTGAGCGAATCACTGCAGCTAAGTGAATTGTGTGGCTGCTAAGCGAATCTGCTAAGTGAATCTTTCCCCGTTGACTTTGCTTGTCAGAAGCTGGCTGGGCAGGTCACATGACCCCATCATGCTGCAACCCTCATAAATACCAAGCACCTAAATTTTGATCACATGACTGCAATGCTGGAATGATCTTAAGTGTGAGAACTGGTCATAAGTCACTTTTTTCAGTGCCATTGTAACTTTGATGGTTGCTAAACAAAAGATTGTAAGTTGAGGACTATGATATTACAAAAAATAACTTAACCTGACCAACTTTCTCAATAATTCAGCTTCCAGAATTCTCTGCAATCTCCACGCTAGCTGGGGAATTCTGGGAGTTGTAGTCCACACCCCTGGAAGGTTTCTAAATTAGGCGAAACTGCTTTCAGCCATTCAATCACCAATGATCTACTGCCTCTTTAGCTAACTCAAATGCTTCTATCATTTTCATCGCTGAGCCAAGCAAGCATTAAACCATCTTAGCAAACTAAAGAGTGCTTCTGACCCCTGCTTTCACACAACTTGCTGAGAGTCCTTCTTTAAAAGCAAAAAAGTCTCCATAATTATTCCCCCAAGCCTGCACTAACACCTGACCTATCGGTTGACAGATCCGACCATCGAGGTGGTCAGCCCCATGCAGGACCTAACTGTGGAAGAAGATGGGACCGCGGAACTCATCTGCCAGTATTCTCGGCCAGTGCAGGCCATCTGGAAGAAGGATGACCAACCTCTTTGGGGAGATGGCCAGCGAATTGTGGTTGAGCAGGACTGGAACGTGGCCAGATTGAAAATCAAGCCGGCTTTTCCTGGTGACATGGGGATTTACTCTTGTGAAGCTGGAGGCACCAAAGTGGTGGCCATGCTTGACGTTCAAGGTGAGGTGAACCACTATGGAAGAAGATGATCATGTGAACTCCGCTGCAACTGACACAAGGGGGCCAAACCAACTTCCTTTTGGTGACCAATACCAGAATAACAGAGTTGGAAGGGACCTTGAAGGTCTTCTAGCCCAACCCCCTGCTCGAGCAGGAGATGCTATACCATTGCAGGCAAATGGTTGTCCAATCTCTTCTTAAAAACCTCCAGTGTTGGAGCACACCCACAACTTCTGGAGGCAAAGTCGTTCTACCGGTTAAGCGACTAGCTTTTGGAGAGCAAAGAACAAGGGGAGATTTGATCTTTACAAAGGGGTTAGTTAATACTTATAGTCAGTGTTGGGGAACTGGAAAACCTTGTAAGAACATAAGCATTCATGCAGGGCTGCTGAGGCTCTCTGAGCTTGGTTGTTTTCTTGCAGATGTTTCATGACCCAACTTGCTTACATCATCAGTGTTAGAAAGGAGTACAGTTTGTGGAGAAAAGGAGGAGGAAGAGGAAGGAGGAGGAGGACTGTGGAGTCCTTGGTGCTCTCTGAGCTTGGTTGTTTTCTTGCAGATATTTCATGACCCAACTAGGTTACATCATGCGCTAGAAAATAGAACCTCACTCCCTTTAAACACTGATGATGTTACCTAGTTGGGTCATGAAATATCCTCAGGAAAACAATCAAGGTCAGAGAGCACCAAATATCCGTGTTTTCTTGACTTGCCTGCATTTTTCAAACACACTTTGTTTAATTTCTTCTATCTGCTTTTAATCTTGGCAATATACCATTGCATAAAATAAATTCAGGCAAAAGCAGAGAGGTGTCTCCGGCTGAATTTGTATCACAACCATGAAGAGTTTTCTTAGCACTTATCAACATCAGCAATTCAATTATCTTAGACACAGTAGGAGAACAGGAATCCTGGCCTACCTTACAGGGCTGTTGTAAGGATAACTCAGCAATGCATATGAGCAGCCTAAAACATTTTGTAATTGCTCTGTGTTACTGCAAGCTTAATGGTCCTCTGCTGTTGCTTGGAGCTAAAGCTTTTGAAAGTTATATTTTATGAAATATGCTTTGTTATTTGGCCTGTCTACTATTCTGATTGTTTTATTGCTTGCATTATATTTTTTTAATGCTTGGCTGCCGAGTTGCTTTGAAATATGTGAAAACACAACTGCCCATTTTTAAATAAAAGTCACTTTGAGTAAAGCTTTGTGATGATAAAAACAAAGACCAAATTATGTTTTTTATTATGGACATTAAAAAAAACATAATTGTACCACATATTTACTGTTTCTGCAGCAGCCAAGATCAAGCTGAGGTTAAGCAATCAGGTTAGAAACTGGAAGACTGGGAGTTTTAGTCCTCCTTTAGGAAAGAACCTGGGGAACTTTAGGCCAATGACCAGGCAATGGTGAATTCTAGTCCCGCATTAGGCACACAAGATGGCTGGGTGACTTTGAGCCAATTATCAAGAGACAGGCAGTTGTACTCCGGTGGGGGAAATAGGAGGAGGAAGGAGTATTATGATATGTTCATAGTTTGAGTTGTTTATAAAAGAATAAGGAAGGCGGGACATAAATAAATAAATTTTGTAGGCTTGAATTTCATTGGCAGTTCCTTTTAGGAAGGTTTTCTATGGCACCTGAAAAGCATATAGGCAGTCCTTGACCTACGATGTTTATGTGGTTAAGCGAGATATTTGTTAAATAAATTTGTTATATGAGTCAGTTGCCAAGCGTCTGAATTTTGATCGTGAGACCACAGGGATGGCTGCAATGGTTGTAAATGTGAAAAGCGGTTAAGTCACTTTTTTCAGTGCCATTGTAACTTTGAACAGTCACTAAACGAATGGTTGTAAGTCAAGGACTACCTGTAATTAAAGAGGAAATCACCATGGGTACTAAAGTAACACGTGTAGTTTGTTGTCACTTCCTTGACATCTGCAGAGTTCGCTTTTAATTTTAATTTATTGTCATTTACAATTTTGGGTTTGTTTTTTTTCACATGACTCAAACCCTTCTCTTACCCTTGTTGAAATCCGGCAGAACCAAATCTTAGTGTGGAATTAATTCTTCCTTACAATATTACGATCCTAGTTCGCGACTACCCCATAGAGAAGAAAGTTTAAAAAAATCCACCGAGGATGTAACCATGCAATTAAATTTCCACTTTTTTAAAAAAAAAACGTGTCATGTTTGATCTCCTAAGTCACAACTTATTCTTATAAAAACTCTTTCTCCTTTCCAAAACTCAACCTATATCAAAATGAAAATTGAATTTCAGTTAAAGATGGCAGACACTTCATTGGAAGCAACCAAGCTTGCAATCTGTCTAAAGTCTTGTAATTGTTATATTTTATATATTATATCAATATAATATCCAGTTATATATATAATATATGTAATATTATACATTATATATAACAAGCGTGTATGGATGTATTATTTGTAATTTATACTTTTTATATATAATATGTAACCTATATGCATAATATATATTATACATATAGTATAGAATACTTATACTTATTATTTCCAGCTAACTTAAATGCTACATAGGTAGTCCTTAAATTACAACTACAATTTCCATTGCTAAATAACGCTGTTTTTAAATGTCATGCCTCATTTTATGACCTTTTTTGCCATAGTTGTTAAGTGAATCACTGCAGTTATTAAGTAAATCACACTGCCATTAAGTCAATCTGGTTTCTTCCATTGACTTTGCTAATCGGAAGCTGTCTGAGAAAGTCACAAAAGGTGATCAAATGAACCCAGGACGCTGGAGCCATCATAATCTATGAGTCTCACCTGCTAAGCACCTGGATTTTAATCACAAAGACCATGGGGATACTGTAATGGTCATAAGTGTGAGAACCAGTCCCAAGTCAATTTTCTGGTGCTGTTGTAACTTCAGATGGTCACTAAACAAACAGTTACAAGACAAAGACTACCCATATCATGGGAAAGTCAGGGATTGAGGCCTTTTTATTATTAATTCCATTTTTTTTGGGTCCTAACAGCCAAGAACACAGTCATCCAGGGCCTCGAGAACGTGGATGCGATGGAAGGAGGGGAAGCTCTCTTTGAGTGTTATCTTTCCAAACCAGAAATCTACAATTATAACTGGTTGATCGATGATGTGCCGGCAAAAACATCTGAAAATGTAGAGCTGGTTTATTTTGAAAATGGGCTTCGCCATCTTCTGCTTCTGAAGAACCTCAAAGTCCAAGACAGCTGCAGGGTGACCTTCCAAGCGAGCGATGTGGTCACGTCTGCCTTCTTGACCGTAAAAGGTGACAATCAAATATCTTGCTCCACAAGACAATCAGATTCAGGTAGTCCTCAACTTACGGCTACAACTAGGCCCAAAATTGATGTTGCTAAACAAGATAGTTCTACCACCTGTGTTGCCACAGTTGTTAGGGGAACCGCTGCAGTTGTTAAATTAATAACACTGTTAAGTGAATCTGGTTTCCCCCATTGAGTTTGCTTGTCAGAAGGTCACAAAAATGGATCGCGGCAGAGGTGGGTGTTCAGCAGGTTCTGACCAGTTCTGGAGAACCGGTAGCAGAAATTTTGAGTAGTTCAGAGAACCGGCAAATGCCACCTATGACTGGCCCCGCCCCCATCTAGTCTCCACCTCCCATTGAGTCCCAGCTGATCAGCTGGGTCTTCTTTGGTTTCCCTGCACAGGAGAACGGAGCTGGAAAGCAGGTTAACGAGGTAGGGAGAGAATGGGGATTTTACAGTGTATTCTCCTGCCGTACCCACCAAGCCACACCCACCAAGCCATGCCACGCCCACAGAACGGTAGTAAAAAAAATTGAATCCCACCACTGGATCATGGGACCTTGGAACACTCCAAGACATTGCAACCATCATAAATATGAATCAGCTGCCAAACATCCGAATTTGATCACATGACCATAGGGGTGTTGCAATGGTTGTAAGTGTGAACAATGTCATAATTCCCTTTTTTCAGGCAGTCATTAAACAAAGTTTTGTAAGTGGAGGACTACCTTTCTATAGCCACCCATCTCAGTCAATAACTGTGGATAGCTTACAATTTAAAAAAAATCACAATTAAAATACTAAAAACATTCTAAGATAATAAAAAACAATACCAATAACCCCCTTAAACATACATAGCAGCTGAGATACTTGACCAGTTAGCAATACAGCCAGGAAACAGGGTCCATTTTCATGTACAGGTAGTCTTCAACTTACGACCATAATGGAGCCCAAAATTTATGTTGCTAGGTGAGATATTTACCCCATTTTACGACCTTTCTTGCCACAGCTATTAAGTGAATCAGCACAGTTGTTCCATTAGTAATAGAGTTGTTAAGTGAATCTGGCTTCCTCCTTGACTTTGCTTGTCAGAAGGTCGCAAAAATGGATCATGTGATCTTGGAACACTATGTCTGTCTTAAATATGAGTTAGTGGCCAAGAATCTGAATTTGATCATATGATCATGGGGATGCTGCAATGGTCATAAATTTGAAAAATCATCATGTCCCTGTTGTAACTTTGAATGGTCACCAAATGCACTACTGCAGGTCGAGGACTACCTGTATTTCTGGTTGTTGTTTTTTAAATTTCCCTCCCAAATTTCCCAATCTCTCAATTTTTTCTTTGCTTGAAAGGACTGATGGTGTCATTTCTGATCATTTCAGGATGGAGACTGGAATTCTTGCAGCCACTGACGGATGTCACCATCTGTGAGGGGGAACAAGCTGTCTTCACCTGTGTGTTAAGTGAAGCAGTACCCATCCATGAGATTGCCTGGTATATTAATGACATAGACATCCAACCGGACGAAAATTGGAGAATTGAAGTAGAAGAAAATATCTACAAACTCATCCTAAAGAAAGCTCAGCTTGTCCACTCTGGAGAGATAACTTTTGCTGCCAGAGATGCTATTGTGTCTGCAAAATTGACTGTCACAGGTAAGTTGAAACAGATAAGTGTTTTTTTGCAACTTGCCTATAGGATAAGATTGATGCAAAATGATCACATTGAATACCGGGCCCTATCTAACAAAATTAAATTCAAGGTAGATAAAAGTAAGGCTCTACAATTAGGTAAGAAAAACCAACCGTACAGGCATATGGGTGAAACTTGGCTTAATGTCAGTAACTGAGAGAGGGATCTTGGAGTTGTAGTGGACAATCACTTAAACATGAAGCCAACAATGTACTTCAGCAGCCAAAAAAACCAATGAAATCCTAGGTTGCATTAATAGAGGGATACAATCAAGATCACGTGAAGTTATAGTACCACTTTACAACGCCTTATTCAGAGCACACTTGGAATATTCCAAGTGGTTTTGGTCACCATAATATAAAAAAGATGTTGAGACTCTGGAAAGAGTGTAGAGAACAGCAACAAAGATGATTAGGGGACTAGAGGTTAAAACTTACAAAGAATGGTTGCGGGAATTGGGTATGTCTTGTTTAACGAAAAGAAGAGCTGGGAGGACATGATAGCTATCTTCCAATATTTGAAGAATATCTGCCATAGAGAAGAGAGGATCAACCTGTTTTTCAAAGCATGAGTAGGCAAGACAAGAAACAATGGATGAAGCAACCTAGAACTAAGGAGCAATTTCTTTACAGTGAGATCAATTAATCAATCAGAAGTCAGAAGTTGTCCTGTCAGAACTTGTGGATGCTCCGTCACCGAAGGCTTTCAAAAAGTGACTGGACAACCATTTGCCTAAAATAATATAGGGTCTCTTGCTCAAGAAGGGGGTTGGACTAGAAAACCTCCAAGGCCCCTTCCAACTCTATTATTCTATGTACTATGTTCTATAGGCTAAGTTTTTAATTGAGGATTAATGCAAAATGATAGCAATAGCACTTAGACTTACATACCGCTTCATAGTGCTTCACAGCGCTCTCTAAGCGGTTGACAGAGTCAACATTTTGCCCCCAACAATCTGGGTCCTCATTTTACCCACCTCGGAAGGAGGGAAGGCTGAGTCAACCTTGAGCTGGGATGGATGGACAGGAAGGAAGGAAAGAAGGGAGGGAGGGAGGGAGGAAGGAAGGAAGGAAGGAAGGAAGGAAGGAAGTTAAAAATAGCAATAGTGCTTCCCAGCTCTCTCTAAGCGGTTGACAGAGTCAACATTTTGCCCCCAACAATCTGGGTCCTCATTTTACCCACCTCGGAAGGAGGGAAGGCTGAGTCAACCTGGAGCCTGGTGGGATTTGAACTATCAAATTGCAGGCATCTGGCAGTCAGCTGAAGTAGCCAGCAGTACTGCACTCATGTGCCACCGAGGTTCAGAATGATCCCTTCTGGAGGAAGAAATGGATATTGAAGAAGGTTGCATGAAAGGCAAAATTGTTCACCATAACAAAGAATGAACAGTTAATGAGTATTGAGCTGTATCCAACCAGAGCCAGTGGTCAGAAAAGTAAGATCCTGCACCTAAGCAAGAAAAATCAAATGCACATGTACAGAATATGTGGCTCAATAATAACAACTGTGAGAAATATGTAGGAGTCCTAGTGGATCACCACTTAATTATGAGCCAACAGTGTGCTGTAGTAACCAAAAAGGCTGCTGCAGCCCTAGGGATAGCGTCAAGATCAGAAGAAATGATAGTATCACTTTATACTGCACTGCTGAGGCCACACTTGGAGCAGTTCATTTAACAGCCATTCAAAGTTACAATGGTTCTGAAAAAGTGACTTATGACAGTTTTTCACATTTATGGCACGGTGGAGCTGAGCTGGGGTGACGGCTCGCATGCCTGGAGAGAGGGCTCCGCATGCCACCTCTGGCATGCGTGCCATAGGTTCGCCATCACGGATCTAGTCTAGAGAAAAGAAGGACTAGGAGTACATGATAACAGTTTTCCAATATTTGAGGGGCTGGCACAAAGAAGAGGAGGGGGTCAACTTATTCTCCAAAGCCCCTGAAAGCAGGACAAGAAGTAACGGATGGAAACTCATCAAGGAGAGAAGGAACTAAGGAGGAATTTCCTTATTGTGAGAAAGATTAATCAGTGCACCAACTTGTCTTTCAGAGTTGTGGGTGCTTCATCACTGGAGGTTTAACAGATAACAGATAATCAGAGTTGGAAGGGACCTTGTAGGTCATCTAGTCCACCCTCCCCCCCAAGCAGGAGACCCTACACCATTTCTGACAGAGGGCAGTCCAGTCTCTTCTTGAAAGCCTCCAGGGATGAAGCTCCCACAACTTCCGAGGGCAACTTTTGTTCCATGGGTTGATTGTTCTCACTGTCAGAAAGTTTCTCCTTATTTCTAGGTTGAATCTCTCCTGGTTCAGTTTCCACCCATTATTCCTTGTCTGGCCTACAGGCGCTTTAGAAAATAGCTTGACCCGCTTCCTCCTCTCTGGGGCAGCCCCTCAAATATTGGAAGACCTCTATCATGTCTCCCCTGGTCCTTCTCTTTACTAGACTAGCCAAGCCCAGTTCCTGCAACCGTTTGTTGTACGTTTTAGCCTCCAGTCCCCTCATCAGCCTGGTTGCTCTTCTCTGTACTTTTTCTAGAGTCTCAACATCTTTTTTATAGTATGGTGACCAAAACTGGGTGCAGGACTCTAGGTGTGGTCTTACTAAGGCTTTACAGAGTGGTATTAGTACTTCCCTTGATCTTGACTGTATCCCTCTGTTAATACAATTTAGGATTGCATTAGCTTTTTTGGCTGCTGCTGCACACGGCTGGCTCCTATTTAGCTGGTTGTCCACTAAGACTCCAAGATCCCTTTCACAGTTCCTGCTATTGAGCCTGGTTTTACCCAGTCTATATGTGTCCTTTTGGTTTTTCTTGCCTAAGTGTAGGACTTTACTTTTCTCTGTATTGAGTTTCATTTTGTTAGATACGGCCCAGTATTTTAGTTTGTCAAGATCCCTCTGGATCTTGAGCCTATCTTCTTGGGTGTTAGCTATTCCTGCCAGCTTAGTGTCACCTGCAAATTTGGCAAGTTCCCCTTCTATTCCCTCATCTAAGTTGTTAATGAAGATATTGAAGAGTACTGGGCCTAAGATGGGACCTTTAGAAGAAAAGGTTGGAAAACCATGTGAGTGGGTGGTATCAGGACTCCTGCCTTAGGCAGGGGATTGGACTAGAACACCTACAAGGTTCCTTCCAGTTCTATGATTCTTGTGAGGAGACTACTTCTTAAGAACCTCTCAGGACAAGGAGAGGACAGGAGATTACCCCCATCAATGTGAACAGCTGTCTCTCATGAGGAGATCACAAGGCAGAGATCCCTGGTAGGTTTTGAGCACCAGGAAAAGATAGGAATAGCAATTTTGCTTGCAATTAAGCTTTGCACTAGATCTGCAAACTTCATTTTTAAATTATGCTTGGAAATTGCTTGTTAAGAACTTTAGGGACGTTTCAATTGGCAAGTCTGAAAATGCGGGATGAGGTCTCGTTCAATCCTTAATGAAAAATCATGTTAATCCTAAACTTAAGATTTTTTAAAAAAATATTAAATAAACAGCAAACAGCTAAGTGACACTTTTTTTCCTTAGAAAGTTATAAACAGATTAAGAGACCAAACACATTTAGAATAAGTTTTTGGAATTCATTATAAAGAATCCTTCCAAAGGGAAATACAGTAGATTTGTTTGGACTATCGCAAGACAAACTGAAGAAAAATAATTTTAAATATTGGGCATCAAGGAAGCTAATACCCTTTATTATTTATTTGTTTGTTTGTTTGTTTAATTTTATCTATCACATTTCTAAACTGCTCATCTAAACAACTAATTAACTGGAACATATAAAATGATGCAAACAAAATTTAACATTGAAAATATTGAAGGGCACTTTTGAAATATGAAATTATAAGTTAGTAACAACAATGTCAGTAGTGAGGTTTGCTTCTATGAATAAAAAGTGTCCAAAATGTTTCAGAAACAGTGGCAGATGAAGAATATTTTTTGATAAGATAAAGGTGACAGGTGATAATGACAGTTATGAGAATGACATGGAAAGGATGCTATACTTGACGTCTTAAACCAGTTGATGTTTTAAAAATCATAGGGGAAATACTGTACAAATAATTCACCAAGAGAGTGACTTGGATAGTCTTTTATATTGGATAAAAGAAGCTTGTTAAAGGTTTGAATAATCTTGTGAGAAAGGACAAAGAAGAAGAACAGAAGAACAGAGCTGGAAAGGTCCTTGAAGGGCTTCTAGTCCAGGGGTCGCCAACTTTTTGGACCTCAGGCAGGGGTGGGATTCAAATTTTTTAACAAACAGTTCTGTGGGCCTGGTTTAGTTGGTGGGTGTGGCTTGGTGGTCATGTGACTGGGTGGGCATGACCAACTTGACGTCACTCACATCGAGGCACGCATCTCCTCACCTGGCCTCTCATGACAGTGGGGATGCTGCAACCATCGTAAGTGTGTAAAACGGTCATAAGTCACTTTTTTCAGTGCCGTTGTAACTTTGAATGGTCACTAAATGAACTGTTGTAAATCAAGGATTACCTGTAGAAAAATACAAAAAGCTTCTCTCCTTGCAAAAAACTGCCCTAAATACCAATCATTAGATTAAAAATACCTGCAAGCCGGAGTTATAAATCAGGCAGGGTGCCAGAGCACCTTGAGGAATTAAAATAATTAAAAATGCAGTGATAACTATCAGCAGCCAACTGTTACTCATAGAGTGAAACCCTTTAGCAGAGAGGTCATTTAAGCTCTCCAGAAAGAGCACACCCTGGAAAAACAATAATTAGATCCATTTGCACCATTTAAAGATACCAGCTGGTCTCACTCACCTCACAAGATACCTTAAGGAAATCGTCCAGATTTAAGGAAAGGTCATATGCCCCCCAGAAAGGCAGTAAAAAAAATCAGTGCCAAGCTTGCATCCTGCCTCTTGGAAGTACACCCAAAAAGGATAGTGCCAGATACCACTAAAGCAGCGATGGAAGACCCCCTCTTCAGATAGAAAAAGAAACCATGAGGCAGGGAAAAATTCAAACACAATACAAATAATTAAATCACAACAGTAGCTGTTGCTTGTTAAACCAATTATCAGAACAAATAGACAAAGGAACTAGTCATATTTCTCAACCCAGTTTCTTTTCAAACAAAGCTGAATAGGGAATATTATCCCATCAATAAACACAGGATTAAATGTCACCAAGGACAGAATTAAACTTCACCCAAAACCAGAGAGGGTATATAAACTCATGTTTGAATGTCAATCTTTCTAGCTAGCCAAGAAGCCTTGCTGAATGTCACTAATCTTGGTTCCTTGTCATTAAAAAGCTTCTTTCTGCAGCTTTGCTTCGTTATTCAATTATTTCTTCAAAGTGCTGATCATTGCATGCCGGGAGTATTTCCTCCCAACAGCAGTATAAAAAGCTTAAAACAACCCTTCCCCTTTAAGAAAGTATCAAGAAAAAAAAACTCCAGTTCTCGGACTGCTTAGAAAGTTAACAAGGGGTTCTATAGAACTGGTAGAATCGCACACCTGACCTCAGGGACCACCAAACTCATAATAAGAAAGAAGTGGAAAGAAACAGTTATGTGGCCAGGCCAGGCGCATGGGGCAAGTGGGGCAAGTCCCCCCCCCACCGTCCTTTCCCCCCTCCCCTCAGTATCTTGTGTTGTTCACAATGCAAGTGACGCAAGCCTTGTGTTCCCGCGGGCCACGTGGGCAGTGCAGCCTGGATTAATTGCTTTGGGTGCTTTGGGGATGACATTTCTCTGCGGACCACCAAAATTTTCTCACAGACCACCAGTAATCCCTGGCCCACTGGTTGGCGACCGCTGTTCTAGTCCAAGCCCACTGCTCAAATAGAAGGAAATTTTTTTAAAAAAATTAAAAATCAGATTCTACAACAATACTTGAATGGACTAAAGATTAAGTCTTTCAAAAGTAAAAGGAAAGCATATAGAATTGATTTATTTCACCAAAGTTAAAATAAAATCTGTTGTTATTTCTGGTAACCCTTAATGGATTTTCTGCTGACTGAAAACTCAAAAAATATTGCTTCATGGATTTGTCTTTAGATTAAAAAATGGGATATGGAATGAAGAAATCATTAGTTGTAAACCAAGAGAGAGTAGAGTGTTGTTTAAGTATTGTGATGGTTAACATACATTTTCAATCTCCACTATACTTTTACTTTCTATGTTTTCTAGTTTCTATTATTTGTATCTTGTCCTTTGCATTTCTCTCTTTCTTTTTATACTTTTTTCTTTTAGTTTGCATTAATTTTACTATTGTAAATGTGTGTGTGTGTGTGTGTAAAACCTTCTTTCACTTTCCTTGTATGAGATATGAACCAGTTGCCAACCGTCTGAATTTTGATCACATAACTGTAAGGATATTGCAGTGGTCATAAGTGTAAAAAAAACAGTCATAACGGCACTTTTCTCAGTGCTGTTGTAACTTTGAATGGTCACTAAACAAATGGTTACAGGTTGAGGACTACCTGTAAACTGGCTTTCATGTGTTGAACTTTAGAACCTGTTGAAGTCACTCAGCCTTTGGTTGACCAGTCTGCTCCGCAAGGAGAGAAGGCCAAGTTGCAGTGTGAATTTTCCAGTGAGACCCAAGAGGTGATTTGGGTCAAAGGGAAAGAACCAATCCAACCTGGTGGACGATATGAAATCATCTCTGAAGGCAAAAAACAGACACTCATCATACATGATTTTAAACCTGAAGATCAAGGATCCTACACCTGTACCGCCTCGCCTGAAATAAAAACTTCTGCCAATCTTTTGATTGATGGTAAGTTACAAATTCCTACATGTAATTCTCAAAAACATGTTATATAATTGTACTGGGGCCATGACCCAGCGGAGACAACAACAACAACTAGGATTAGAACTTCCATTGCTAAGCAAGGAGGTTATTAAGTGAGTCTCATCCAATTTTAGGATCTTTTTGGCAGGGTTGTTATGCAAATCACTGCTGTTGTTAAGTGAATTACAATTCATTAAGTGAAACTGGTATCCCCATCGGCTTTGCTTGTCCAAAGCTGGCTGGGAAGGTCACAAATGGGGATCACGTGACCCCAGGAGGCTGCAACAGTCCTAAATACACACTGGTTGCTCAGAGCCAGAATACTGAGTTCCTAATTATGGGGGTGCTGCCATGGTTGTAAGTGCGAGGACCAGTTGTAAGTCACTTTTTTTCAGTGCTGTTGTAACTTCAAATGGTCATTACATGAATGGTTGTAAGTGAATGACGACCTTTACAGAAAAAAAGTGACTTATGATTGATTCTCACACTTACAACAGTCACAGCATCTCCATGTTTATGTGATCAACATTCAGGCACTTGAAAACCGGTATGTTTTACAAGTCGCAGCATCCTGATCTCCTTTTACGACCTTCCCAGCTATCTTCTGACAAGCAAAGTCAATGGGCGAAGCCAGATTCACTTAATAAACATGTGATTCACTTAACAGCTTCAGTGATTATGAGACAAAAAGCATTGCAAAACGTGTTGCAAAATGAGATGTGACACACTTAACTGCCTGGCTTAACAATGGAAATTTGGCTCAGTTGTGGTAGTAAATCAAGGACTATCTGCACTATATTAATCTAGACTGATTGATTGATTATTGATTAATTGATTCTAAAATCTGTTGAATGGGGATTTGCAAAATATGGACTATTTTATAGATAATCCTCTTTTTGATGTCTAGCAGTTGCCATATCCTGACTTCCTAATTATAATCTCACCATTTCGTTTCTTAGTTTCTTCTGTGCCAACGTTGAAAGAAGTTGTTGAGGAAGCACCCATCTCTAAAGAGCCAACAAAGGTAGCGGATGAAGAGGTTCAACCTAGCTTGCCACCCGAAGCTGCTCAGGAAGGGGACCTCCACCTTCTGTGGGAAGCTCTGGCCAAGAAGCGGAGGATGAGTCGCGAGCCGACCTTGGACTCAATCAGTGAACTGCCTGAAGAAGACGACAAACTTCAGAAGAGGAAGAAGGAGGAAGGGGAGATAACCCCATACTTCTCCGAGGAATACTCTACTTGTGATGAATCTGCAAAAGCTGGAGAAGCAGATTTTTCCATCACAAGTTCAGATGACGAATCTAGAGCTGGAACACCTTCCTTAATCACCTACCTTAAGAAGGCTGGATCATCTACAATGAGCATCAGTCACAAAGTCATAGAGAAAATCCCTCAAGATCAGCAGAAGGTTGGTGAGGAACCATCTCCTCCGGCAGAGTCAACTGAAATGGAGATCACCGAAGGTGACTTGGAGGACCCTTCCATGTCTCAAGCTGCCGTCAAAATCCAAGCTGCCTTCAAAGGTTACAAAGTGAGAAAGGAAATCAAAGAGCAGGAACGTCCAGTCTTTGTGGACACCTTCAAGGACTTTGTTGGCAAGATAGGAGACACTCTCCATCTGGATTGTGTGGCCCACAGCAAGACAGACATGACGGTCAGTTGGCTGAAAGATGGTAATGAAATTAAGGACGGGCGGCATTATCATATAGACAATTACAACGATGGGACCTGTTCCTTGATTATTGCTGGTCTGGAAATGAATGACAAGGGGAAGTACACTTGTGAAGCCTCCAATAAATTTGGCAAGGTCTCTCACAGTGCCAAGGTGACCATCCAACCTCAAGCACCTTCTCGAAAACTGAAACCCGCCAACAAGCTTCCCGACAGCGAATCGGAGAGCTCATCCGGCAGCGAATTGGACGATGCTTTCCGTAAAGCCGGCCGGAGGCTCCACAAACTGTTCAAGTCCAAAATCTCCACTGAGATCTCTGATGTCGACGAGGAACTGTTTGTCAGCGCGGACGAGGGAGAAATTGAGGCAGCGGATCGTCAGACCTATCGGGAAGACGAACGCTACATCTACATCAAGTTCGAAGTTCACACGGAGGCCAAAACAGCTGCGGGTCGATTTCAGGAGATGTTTGCCGCTATGGGTATTCCTGTTGAGATTGACATTTTGGACCAGGGTCCTAAAAAGATAGAGTTGCGTATTGGGAAAGCCACTTCACCTCCTGCCGGGCAGTTGCGGACTTTGGTTCAACGGCCACCACCTACTTTGCTGACCTCCGATACTGGTAAGTACACAAGGTTTTATAGGAGGAGGAGTGTCATAACCTGGGTTTTTTTTTCAAAAGAGGCATCAGTCTAGAATCCCTACATAGTCACAAGTGAACAAAGTCCAATTTCCCTTTAATTCTTTTGACCCTTATCTAACTCCTAGCAGGTACTAACTGTTAGTTGAGAAGATTCCTGTGCATAGGCACGTGCAGTAATAAATCAATTTAAGGTGAAGTGTTAGTCCTGCTTTATACTTCATTGATGAGACCGTATTTGGGATACTTTGTCCAATTCTGGTCATCACAGGACAAAAAAGGTGATGAGACTATAGAAAGAGTGCAGAGAAGAACAACAAAGATAGGAGTTCTGGAGGCTAATATGAGGGAACTAGGTATGTTAAGTCTAATGAAGAGAAGGACTAAGAATGATAGCGATCTTCCAATACTTGAGGGAATGTCACAAAGAAAAGGAGATCAACCTATTTTCCAAAGCAGATGAAGGCAGGACACTAGGAGTAATGGGGGGAAAACTTATTAAGGAGAGAACCAACCTAAATTATGGAGAAATTTCCTAGCAACGAGAGGAATCCATCGGCACAATGGCTTGTCTTCAGAAGTTGTAGGTGCTTTATCACTCTATCACAGAAGAGACAGGACAGAAGCTGTATAAGGCAGTGACCCCCAACCTTTTTTGTGCCGCGGCCCGGTACCGGCATCACAAAATCATCCGCGGCCCGGTACCGGCATCAGCACGCATGGCAAGGCGAGCCGAGCGACCGGCCAGCCAGCCGTCCCCTGCTTCTCCCCGCCACCTTCAACTCCTCCTTTGTACCTGTGTCGATGGGCTTCGGGACGGCTTCGGGACGGTCGCTCGGCTTGCCTTGCCTTGGGTGCGCCTTAGTTTTGTTCGAAGCTGCCCCCCACTAGATGAAACTAAGGCACAAGGATTCTTTCAGCACCCAAACGCCGCTTTCTACCCGGAAAAGCTCACCGGAAGCACTTTTTCATCAAAACAAGATGGCAGCGCCCAGCAAACCAGCAGCCTGGTAGAAACTGTTCCACGGACCGGTACCGGTCCAGGGTACCGGGGACCCCTGGTATAAGGGACTCCTTCTTCAGGGCTGGACTAAAAGTTAAAGCAGAAGGCGAAGAAGCAGTAGATAGACAAGAAGGGGGAAAATGAGGAGGAGGAAGATTAACTTGGTTCTCTCTGAGCTTGGTTGTTTTATTATAGACATTTCATGACCCAACTAAGTGACATCATCAATACGAGAAGGGAATGTGGTTTGCAGAGAGGAGGAGGAGGAGGAAAAAGATGTATAGATTTGCTCTTATTGTTCTTTGTCCATTCTAGCTCCAGTCTTCATCACTGAACTTCAAAATCAAGAGGTGCAGGATGGATACCCGGTCAGTTTTGATTGCGTGGTGATTGGCAAGCCAATGCCGACCGTCCGGTGGTTTAAAGATGGCCATGTTCTCGAAGAAGATGACCATTACATGATCAATGAGGACCAGGAAGGATGTCATCAACTGATCATCACAGCGGTGGTCCCTCTTGACATGGGGGTCTACCGCTGTGTGGCTGAAAACAGCATGGGGGTGTCTTCAACAAAAGCCGAGCTACGAGTGGACCGTGAGTTAAAAGCTGGGATGCGGGAAACCGTTGTTCAAAAGCGGAGCATAACTGAGCATA